CGGCTGTCAGTGTGAAAATAACAAACGTACATTTTCAGTGGTACAGGAGTAGCAGATACTGGTACACAAGCCTAGAGTGCCCTCTAGCGGCTGTCAGTGTGAAAATAATGAAGATGTACATGTACATGTGAAATTATATATTTTAAATATATAAGTAACTCTGGAGTACAAGTCGCAAACCCAGACAAAAAATGCATTATGAAAAAACAAAAACAAAACATATATAACTTGCTCCGGAGTATAAGTCACACCAGCTAGCCAGAGTGCCCTCAAGTGGCTGTCGGTGTGAAAATAATGAACATGTACCTTTTAAGTGGTACAGGAGTGGCAGATACTGGTACACAACCTTCGAGTATATAAGTCGCACCTGAGTATAAGTCGCAAAACCAGGATTAAATAAAGTGCGACTTATAGTCCAGAAAATACGATACTTATTTTCTGGTGTTCATTTCTATGGGCGCCACTATTGTTCCATTTCATCTCAATGAAGTTGGGGTAGATCCTTTAACCTTAACCACAAAAATCGCAAGTGACCCAGGAGTGGAGTCCTGTCCAGCCAATCAGAATTGATTTTCCTGTCAGATCCAAGCACACAATAGTTCCAGAACTCCATTTTAACCGTTTCCCAAGAGGAATTCGTGTTTTCATTTCTGGTAAAACGGGACCAGCAGGCACCAGAACTCACCAAAGTTAACTACCTTTTTTTGGTTTGAACTCGTTGAATTTGTTTCACTAGCGCAAACAAACAGAGGTATGTTGTGATAAATAACAGTAATTACATGCACAGAAGTCACACATCTCACATCTCCGCCTCGTATCTGTACATCCATAATCAAACGGGTTTCAAATGTTTGGTACTCTTAGAGAGAACAGCTTCAAATGTGGTGGAAGACCTGCATCCGTATCACTGAACGAATAACGTATCGTACAGGAAGTTGGAATCATTTAATATACTTCAGTAAGACTTCAGGGCTAAGACTCGAGAATCAACGTCACCTAGTTTTAAACGTCATGCGGTAAACAGGCTAGAGGAGAAGAGAATAGTTTTAAACGTCATGCGGTAAACAGGGACAGGCTAGAGGAGAAGAGAGCGTTTTGGATTGCCTTAGGAATCGGCAGATACTCCATGTTGCAGTATCGGCATTAGACGTACTCCAAGTCTTTGGATGTACCAGGGTCTCAGTGTGTACTCCAAGCCTGAGTGTGAACCCACCTTAGACGGTATCATTCAGGGATCAGACAAAGGCCTTCTGACAAGAGGGGGAAATCTAAGAGTATCTAAGTACTTATGAATACTTTTGTATACTTGTGGGTCTGAGTTACTTCCTGTAGGTCACCTTCAGAGATGCTCAGCGACGATCATTTATTATTAACAGTCAAAACAGTTATGCTGTACTGTACATGTCCAACTGTACACACATAATGTAGTAATACTTCCTGAACAGCTAACAGTCTCTGTCTGTATTAAGCTTATACAGTGTTTGGGAGCTTTGAAACCAACAGGGGGCGCATATTGTGCAAAGGATGAAAGAAAACCAAGTCGACAGCTGCTCTGCAGCAGATGCCGCGTCTAACTTTCTTACATTCATAAAACATTAAAACCGTGGTTCTACATGGGGAATGTGCCGGAACGTTCTGACCTTGAGGGGTTTTTACAGTCGGAGGTAAATGATACAGTGAACATAGACAGCGTGAAAACCCGGCATCATCTCCAGAGGCACATTTTTAAAAAGCCAATCAGAGCGTAGCTTATTTAGTCGTTAAGTCATTTCGTCCAATCGCTGAGTTGCTGCCCCACTGTGGCTGCTCCGGTGCACAGCAGCCACTGAATGAGGCTCGACGTCATCACACTGCTGAGCCGTACGCAGACCCAAGGTTAAAGAGATAGTTTGGGTTTTTGAAAGTGTGTTTTCAGGAGGTTCGGACGCAAGTCAATGCTAGCTGTGACGTAAATCGTGTCTGAAGATATCGTTCATCGCCTCATTTTTACAGCTGTACACTGAGGGTTCGGTTTTTCCCAACGAACCTGCACAAAAGCTCGTAAGGAAAAGTGGGGGTTTTAAGAAGCCACCGTCGACTCCACAAACCTCGATGTCCCAACGTTTAAAGGTTGAAAACCATTTTGTGAGAAGGCGGAACATTATAGTGTGTTGAGCTGTTGTTGTTTTGATGTGACTTTTTTTTTCTCTGGACTTGAGCTGCTGTTGTAAAAGAGTCAAGACAGATGAGTCGGCGTACGCTACAGACAGCTGTAAAATGTGTTTGTCCTCAGTGGCAGCCATGTTTTTTTTTGTCCTTATCTCTGACTCTGGTGTGGAATTATAGAATACACACACATACACACACATCATGTGGTTCCATTTTAGGAACTGAGGTGATGTCCAAACAACGTGGTATCACTGTGGGGGTTTTTTTGTGTGATTATTATTCCTGGGCCTGGAGGGAATCTCAGGTCATGAGTTTGTTCTTTGTGCACAGACAAAAAATAATCAACAAAAACACACATTCTACCCTTGTGTCGTGATGATGTACCTCTGTGTGTGTGTGTGTGTTCCTCCACTGCACGGCTTGTGTCAACGCTGGGTGTCAAAATGCGAAGGACAACGAGATTTTGGTGTAAGACGTAACGTGTTACGTGACGAAGGGTGACGGCTCTAATCGGCTCTGACGACGCATCTGTGTTTTGTGCAACAAATACTGAACCGAGGACGGCACTGTGACGAGCTGTTCACCTTCCGTCCTCGGCACTCGGTGTCTGCAGACTCCGTGCTCTCACGTCTCAAGGTCTCTGCAGCAGAAAGGCTCATCAGAGAAACTTGGCGCCGTGCCACTCCCCAAATGTCTTTCCCCAGAAGTCGGCCACTCGCTGAATGCTAAACAAGTTTCCGTGTCTCCAGGAACCGTTTTGACTCACAGCACTCGGCAGCAGTTGTACTGAGCCAGCGGCAGGATCTTGGGCTTGTTGTGTGTTGGTATGTTTAGGGCCAAAGCTTTTTCACACAGAGGGAACTGGAAGAGTCTCTCCTTCAGCTTGATGCTGTGCCGTTTCCCCTGCTCAACCCTGGGGGGCGCCTCATCGCGTGTCCCCAGAGGATTTTGGGGAGTTAATTCGTCCTTTGCTCCGTCCTCGGTTTTTTCTTCCTGCGCTCCCTCTCTACTCGTCTTTACCGTGTCTTTGACGCTGAGGCTGAGTCCAGCAGGGGGCGCAGAGACGGAAGACTGGAGTTTGTTGGTGTTGTTGTTTGGTTCCGTCTCTTCGTCCGTTTCCTTCTCTGTGGTTTTCAGGTCTGGTTGGCCCTGACAGCACGGCAGCAGGTCGGGCAGAGACCACGACGGGGTTTCTTGGTTCTGACTAACCAGCTTTGCTTCATGACCAATGGGTTGATCTAAAATTACACACTCGCTGTCTTTGATCTCCTCCTCTTTCATCTGCACCACATTGACCAACTCCTTCCTCCCTCCTCGTTGATCTCTGCAGACCTGATCTTCTGCTCTGTCATGCGCCTCCCTTTCTTCTGCTGCCAGAAGTTCTCCGGGAACAGCCCTTTCTTCTGCTGCCAGAAGTTCTCCTGGAACAGAACTTTCCTCTCCCTCCTCCTCCTCTTCCTCCTCTTCCTCCTCACAGATCTGCTGGAGAGCAGGCAGGTTCTTGGTGGCAGGAGGCTCCTCAGACGGAGCAGGGCGGAGGGTGACACTAAGACTCGGCTGCCAGGGTCCAGGCAGAGGCTGCTGAGTTGCAGGCTTTGCAGCGAGCAGGTCTCCACACTCTGGTACTCCTGAGCGGGGAGAACTGAGCGACAGAGCCGCCGAGAGCCAGTGAGGAGGAGCTTCTGGACTGAGCAGCACGTTGTCCAAACCGTGGAGCCAGTGATGAGCCTCAATCTCATGCAGTGAGGCACGGCGACAAGGATCCTTCTGGAGCATCCTCGAAATTAAACTGAAACAAGAGGAATTTATTAGGGACGTCCAAGATTAACGTTTTGACCATATCCGATATTGTCCACACAATTTCAAATTCCGATATCAACCGATACCCATATAGGCCTGGTAGTATTTTTTTATTTATCTGTCGCTGGCACCAACATTCTCCATACAATCCCCTGATTATTAAAATAGATTAATAAAATGAGCTGCAATGCTGCCATCTAGTGGTTTTCACTTTAATATACAGCTGTTTATCCCCAAAACTATTTTTAGAGCACACCCAAACCCAGGCACTGTGGTATCAGATTTTCGTTTTTGATTTTCGCGTTGATGTTTATTTTGTATTTATTTATTTATTTTTGGCAGCGTACGTGATGGATTAGGAACACTCACTTTCTACAGTCGTCGGAGACGTGTTCCGGAACAGTGTAGCGACAGTCCAGGATCATGACTAGAGTCTCGCTGTCGTTGGTTTCGTGAAAGGGAGGAACTCCACACACCAGCATGTAGAGGATCACCCCCAGAGACCAGATATCTGGAACAGAGAGAGAGAGGCTTAAATAGAAAGTCATCATCCCGGGTCTTAAAATAGCAAACATTCCCTCAGGTTTCATCACATCGTTCAGAGGAGGAACTCTGAGATAACAGAAAACAGAGTTAATATACAGAAATGAATGGAAAAAACACAGCTGTGAACTAAACTGTACTTGATCTGCAGCACCCCAGAACGACTTCATGAGTAAACGTCCTGAGTATTTTGGAGCCCTGGTGGCCTGAAATGGAACTGCAGTCAGATTTTGTTCCAATCGCTGATTGGATGTTGCGGCGCAATCGCTATATGACAAGATAAATGTTTCTAAACTTTATTCATCGCATCGTCTGACACTAAAATGCGTGTTGTCTCGCCATTTACGTTGATCGTGTAACGTGGAGTTACCGCTCAATTCACATCGATCGCGTTTGGAAATTCAAACATCCTCTGGTGACGTCGGTTTATTTTACCAAAGCAGCAGAAAGATGGAGAAATAATTTCATCCCAAAACAATTCACATAAAAGCATGAACTCAGGATCAAGAAAGAATCTCGTTAGGATTTAAAAAAAAAACGTCTTCGTCCTCCACGGTGCAGACAGACAGGTTAAAGGTCAAGGTTAGTACGACTTGATCTGAATCTTAATCAGGTGAAGTGAAGTGCATGAGTAACGACGCTTTAACACATCTCCATTTAATGTGAAAAGACTGAGCTCATTGTACAAGCACACACATGTAGATACACACACACACATGTGAACACACACACACACACACACGTGCTTCCTGATGCTGAGCGAGGCTGCTGACAGGCTGCTCTTTTCCTGTCTCCTCCCTTTCCTTCCCCTTTCTCTCCCCCTGCGTCTCTCAGACTCGGCTGACGGAGAGGAGGACCGAGGACCATGTGAGTTCACGCACACACACACGCACGCACGCACACACAGAGGCGACAATGTCAGAGACAGAGCGTCTGTTGTGCCGTCGGTCGATTCTAAGAATTAGCTTTAATTCCCACCAGTTTTGTCCCAGAACGAGGACACAGAGAGAGAGAGAGAGAGAGAGAGAGAGAGAGCTGTGTGTCAGCTCTGATGCAAGACTAAAAATATATGAAGCTGTTTAATTTCACACTGTGTTTCGTCAATAAGACAGAGAACAGATGAAGACAGTTGTTTATGTGTTTGATGCTATTCTCAGTAACAGTGAAGACTTTTCTGATCAAACTTCAACTGTTCTGACGTAGTGTTTATATCTATACCTCGGTTTTCTACATTTTTACAATTTCTTACAACGATTCATGAATTGAATCAATTTTAAACTGATCTCCGTCACTGACGACTAATTTGACAAATTTTAAGGTTTTTTTTTTTTTCCAGGTCTTATCACTTCTATGCTGGCGGCCAAACAAACACGAGCCTCAGCTTTAGCTCCTGTTGTCTCGTCTGACTGTTTACTGCGTTGAGACTTATTTAACCAACATTGTGTATTTTGTTTATTTATTTGATTATTAATACATAAAGGAACAGAGTTGACAGGAAGTGAGGGGAACATAAAGAAACAGAGGAACACACTGTTGACAGGAAGTGAGGTCACAGTAGTTTTCAGCTGAAAAGCTCTGCTCACTTTCTGTCCGTTCTGTTTCGTCGTATCCTCAGTTCTACTGATGTGTCGTCTAATCTTTGGTTTGACACAGGAAGTATTTCTTCACTCAATTTACTCAATCCTAGTTCCTGCCAAAACACCCTGCGAGTTATTAGCCGCGCCCAAAAGTGTGCGATAAGCGAATAAATGTCCAGCGTGTCCACGTCCTCCTCGGAGACTCTCACATCTCGTCCCAGTCGCCCGTGTGATGAACACGCAGCGACTGCCCCTCATTATTCTCATGGTTGTGCAAACAACGGCCCTCAGTTCTTTCCATACAATGGAAACTCACATGCACGCTCGTCCGGCGTGCACGGTACAACCTCGAGATGGGTTACGCAACAGGGCCGTGAAGCTACGGCTGTGCAGCGAGTTCTTCTCTGCTCTCTGGGGAACATCACACACTGTCACCGCGCTTCTGTGTTCTGACGAAACGCAAACATGTGGACGAGTAGACAAACAGGTTTGCTGGTCAAAAAAAATAAAGTATATATATATATACACTGTGTATATATAAATATCAAGTACTTCAGTATGTCCTTGAGATACATTAGGCAAAGTCAAAGACCGACTAAATCAGTTTGTTTCGTGTGTGACGTTAAAAATTTTCCTTTAATTGGAATTGACATAAAAATGATGTGTAGCTAGCCGGTGCGACTTATACTCCGAAGCGACTAATATATGTTTTTCTTCTACTTCATTTTCCGTTTTTTTGGCTGGTGCGATTTATACTCTGAAAATAAGGTATATTTCAGCTCCATGTGTTTTGAGGTTTATACTCTGAAAATAAGGTATATTTCGGCTCCATTTCCGGCTGTTTTGAGATCAGACTCTTACGACTCGACGTTCTTACGACTTTTTGTCAAACTGAACCTGAGGCTTCTTCACACAGCGACGTGTCCTGCTTTTTGTCTTGAGGAGACGTGTCTCTTTTTGGACGTGCCAGTGTGAGAGAAGAGTTTTTTTTTTTTTTTTCTCTCTCGATGTCTCAGACCTTGTGCTGGTGATGGAGGTGGTGTTTGGGGAAGGGCGGGGGGTGAGTTGGATGTGGGTCTGTCAGACTGTGTGGAAAAACCTTTGTTGATATAAACAGTCCTGTCGACTTCAGGTTGGTATGAAAACACTGACAAAGGGGTTCTGTCTGGAACAGCTCTCAGCTTGGCGGCCGTTCCTGGATCTAAATTGGGATGTTTCTGCAGGACGTTCACCCAGCAACCACTGACCCTGGAACCCTGGAACCCTGGAACCCTGGAACCCTGGAACCCTGGAGCAGGGACCGGAGCGCGGGTTTAATACAGCACTGCCCAACAGGAGACACAGACGGAGCTGTATTTAATGTTACCAGTTAGACTGAGCAGCACAGCAGGGGGCGCTCTTACCTAACTTTGACCAAGGTCACTGAGGGGCTGAATGTCACCAGGGATTAAGGAGAATAAAGAACGAAGCCTTCTGACCAGATTACAGTCGTTGTTGCTGAACTACAGTCGCAGAAACTTGGAGCAAGAAGTGGTGAAAACGTTTGAACGTCATATCACACAGTCACAACAGGAGAGTCGTTGTTCTCTTCGTGTAAATGTTTGCAGTTCAATGTCGTTGAAGCTGTTTCTACACACACCTATTGACACCTGCGTGTGTGTGTTTGTGTGTGTGTGTGTGTGTGTAAACATAGGTGTGTAACTGACTCGACAGAATGACTTGACTTGTCCGTGACTCCTCCCCCTGGTGGCTAATATTTTGTGTATATTTAACTGAACTTTCTTCCTTCATCACGTGTGAACGAACACTGCACCAAACTGTGTACAGTTAGCATTAGCGGGTGGTCGAGTTGAGACGGTAAATGTATGAAAACGGACGTAAAGTCAAAAAGACGAGACAAACGTTATACAACGACTGACAACGATTCTGTGTCACAGGCCCCGAAGACTGGTGTCACATGACTATCAGTAAACACACACACACTGTCATGACATACAATAACACACAAAGCTCTCTCCGCATCAAGTCATCGCACAAGTGATTAGTGTTTGACCTTTAACCCTGACTGACAGTTAAAATGAGTTCTAATTGGAAAGAAACTTATTCCTGAGGCTGAAGTGAAGTTTGACAGATTTATAAACTCGGACTTGTTTCAGGGCCGGGGTTGGAAATGACTTAAAAATGATTAGGTTAGAGAGAAGGTTCTGGAATGTAGCCAGAGACTCAGAGACTCTGTCTTTTTTTTTTTTTTTTTTAAGGAGGGGCCAATGTAGCCAGAGACTCAGAGACTTTTTTTTTTTTTTTAAGGAGGGGTTGGCTAAAAAAAAAAGAAACTTTTTTTTTTTTTAAGGAGGGGTTGGCTAAAAAAAACAAAAAAACAACGTATTTTTCGGACTATAAGAAAAAAAAGGTGCGACTTATAGTCAGGAAAACACGGTCGTAGATACCGGGTCCAGACTACAAATGAATGGGAGTCAGTGTAAATGTGCTACGCAGCGATGACGTCGAACACCTGAAAAGCATTTGACTTGAAACTGAACCACACAAACAGAACGGCACTTCCAGAAACAGGAACTAACATGAAGTAACAGGAACCGTTGCCACCCATGAGGCATCAGTAACTCGGGGAGAACACGTGTTTGTATCACTTTTGTTTTGAGTCAGTGACTCTTTAACTGCAGACAGTTTTAAACCAGGGCTTTAAATGGGGAAATTGAAACCTTAATATTTGTAAACTTGTCGACCTGTACCATTTCTGAAACGCATTTTTTTTTTTACTCTTTACTCTGATCTATTACCAAGGCTTAAATCATTCACTGTTATTATGATTTTATGATGTAGTTAAAAGAGAGTACTACTATATCAATGTACTACTTTAACATCGTACTGCCATCACACTTTGTTTTTGCACCAACTGCTGACTTTTAATGCCTCTGTGCCTGCACCTTAGGCAGCCAGGACCTGCCTGAGTTCATGAAATACAAAATGTTTGGTTTGGTTTGAAATTGAGTTTACGAAGAAGCAGAGTGAGAATCAAAACAAATCAAAGGTCGAGCAGAAACACCAACGTTCCTGCGTCTCATTCCTCGTATAAAGAATCTCCATCTTTCTTCAACTTTTTTTTTCTGAAAAAAAAAAAAAAATCAATTTTCTTTAAACCTCCAAAGAGCTGAAAACCAGCATCGACTCTAATGTGGGCTTGTCAGCAGAGCGGACCAGACGCCTGTGTTGTGGCTAAATTATGATGTATGGTGTTTTTCTCCTTTGGCTTTTTTGTCTCCTCGGTCCCTTCACACACACACACACACACACACACATCACAGTGTAGAAGCCGCAGTGTTTGGCTCCACTGCAGAATGTGCCTGAATCACAGCTGGTTCACTGAGAGTGACCCAGATACACAGTAATCACACACACACACACACACACACACACACACACACCACATCCTGTGCTGTGATGATTTTAAAGCTCCGGCTTCTAAAACACTGCAGTTTGACTTTTTTTTTTTTATTTTTTTTTTTTCGTATTTCATTTCTGAGTGTGATAGTCTGGGCCACTCGCTCCGAGTCAGCAGTTTTCCCTGTGCTGGTGTTTACAGCTGACTGTGCTCTCTGGGCTGGGACGCAGCGCAGGATACGCAGGTAGATGTGGGCCGCAACCTGGTGAAAACATGGCTGCCGGCAGGGACGACCAAACAGATGATTTTATCAACCTAAACTGCTGAGTCGCTGGGGGGGCGGGGGGGCGCGTTTTCAGAATGAGCCACTTTATTTTTTTGCTGAAACACTGTTTTTCTGTTCACCTCTAAGTCCATTACAAAAAACAGAAACATATGAAGACAACTACTGAATTATTTACGCCTGCTTTTATATAACGTCGGCATCAATCAGCTACGTCTCCGTGGAAAACAAAGAAATTCAAGAATTAAAATGACAAAAAGTTGTGATTCTTGTTCTACTCGTATCCGTAACCGATAGTTATATTGTCCTCATGTACGGTACTGATACGATTACCATTTTTTTCCCCGTAGTATAAGTCGCACCAGTGCCCTCTAGTGGCTGTCAGTGTGAAAATAACAAACATGTAAATTTTCAGTGGTACAGGAGTAGCAGATACTGACACATACAAGCCTAGAGTGCCCTCTAGTGGCTGTCAATGTAATAATAACAAATACAAGAAAATTATATATTTTAATATATAAGTCGCACCTGAGTATAAGTCGGAAAACCTTTGGCTAAGGGTGAAAGAAAAAAGTGTGACTTATAGTCCGGAAAATACACTGCTGACTTTCAGTACGATGATCTTTTTAAGAAACAATGATTGGCGTGTTTGTTGACCTGACAGCATCTCGAGTTTGCAACAATTCAACAGAAAATTAAAGCTGCATTTTTTTAAAAATCTCCTTCTTGTTATCGGGCTCTGTGCTAGTTCCTACTTGCTGCTATAAGATCGTGCGACTTATAGTCTGGAAATACGGTATTGCTGCAGAGACCATTCTTCTTGTTATCGGGCTCTGTGCTAGTTGCTACTTGCTGCTATAAGACCGTGCGACTTATACTCTGGAGCGACTTATAGTCAGAGACCATCTTAAAAAAAATCAATTCTCACCAACAGCCGGAGCATCATATTCTTCTCCCAGTAGAATCTCCGGTGCAGAGTACGCCAGCGACCCACAGCTGGTGGCCAACATAGTACCTGGTTGGAACAAGTTACTGAACCCAAAGTCTGTCAACTTCACTGCCCCCTGCTGGGGAAAGAACACCACGTTTTCTGGCTTCAGATCCCGGTGTACCACATGGAGCTGGTGGCAGTACGCCACCGCGCGGACAATCTGCGCAAAGTGCCGTTTGGCGGTACACTCGGCCACGCCCCCTTCATGACGTAGGATGTAATCGTAGAGGTCGCCCCCCTCGGCTAGCTCCATGACCAGATACAGAGTGGTGGGCGTGTCGATGACCTCGAAAAGTCGCACCACGTTGGGATGCTGCACCCGCCTCATGCATCTGTGAGAAACAACGCAGACGAGAGATTCCTTAGAAAAAAAATCGTATCGCATTTTTTTTACATTAAGATTTGACTAGATCTCCAAGAGATCCAAATGTATTCATACATTATCACATATATAGGACATATACTACTCCTAGGGTCTAAAATCTAAAGGTTTGGAGCCTCCTTCCTGTACCTCACTTCCTGTAGAAGGTGACTCGTCGCCAGGACATCCAGTTTTGTCTTGTCGATCATCTTGACGGCCACCAGTTGTCCGGTGTTGACATGACGAGCGAGTTTGACCACCGCAAAGTGGCCCCTGCCCAACGTCCGACCCAGATGGTACAGTCCGGTGAGATCTGAGCGACCGGGGCTGGACTTGGGGTCCTCGTGTCCATCCTGGACCTGGATGCGGTCTCCAGAGGTGTCCATATTTAGGTGACCAATTCCGTAGGGTTCTAGAAGGTTCTGATGGGAAAAGTCGGTTACATCAAGGGGTCAAGGTGCGGCCGGTGGCCTAGCAGGACAAAGAAGAGACGACACAATGAGACAAAAGGACCGCGTCCATCATTTCTGCCTTTGGCCCCAAAGGAAAAAGGGCTTTGGATGAGGTCAGCGTCTGTTGGTGTCTGATCCCTTTGTGCCTTAAACCTCTGACGCATTGTTATTTATTTATGACACACAAAAAGAAACTTTTTCTTTTATTGTTGTTGAGGATCCATGCAGTGAACGAGACGACAGAACAAATCCATCTCTGAAGGTAAAATATTCTTTCACTGTGTGAACACTTGTTTGTCTCTGTCTCAAATAACAGCCACCCTGCACAAATGCTTCATCCAATCAATACTGAAACAGGACACCATAATGTACGCACGCGAGGGTGGGCGCACCGACCGATCTGGTCGTGAGAGCGAGAGAGAGAGAGAGAGCGAGAGAACAAAAACATGGCTAAGAAAGTTAGCCAAGGTTATTACTGAGTTTTTTTTTGTCGGGTTGAGAGTAAAGGTCAAGACTGGGGTCAGGGAACAGAAGTGGGTCCTGTAAATTATGAAACGATGTGTGTGTGTGTGTGTGTGTGTGTGTGGTTGGGGTTAAGAGGGTCAAAGGCTGTCATGAGATCTGCTGATGATGTCATCAACAAAGGTTCTACTTCTAGTGATCGCTCCAGCCTGACGAAAAAATTAGGAAAAAAAAACAACAACAACAACAAATAAGTCAAACAGGTATTGTACTTAACATTAGGGGGCGCTGTTATGGCATTTAGACATTACCCAATATATTTACAACACAACTAACTACAGGGCTACACGGTCATGGTCACACGGTTAACTTATTATTTTTATAATTATCCTTGAATTAGAGAAAATAATAGTGGATGATAAAATACTTCAAACTGTCTCATCAACCAATCACTGGACTGATGGTTAAATCAGTTGTTCTGCTGTTTACTAACAACTAACTAGTGATGGTCATGGTGATGTCAGCCTCCCTGACATCACCAGCACCAACTTATTCATCAGTGTGGACAGTAGCACTGTTATTAACACACACACACACACACTCACACACACTAGTTATTATAACCCACCATTGTGCACCTTCACAATGACAGCGTGAGACAAAGAACAGCTGCGGAATCGAACGTGACACAAACAAGAATATCAGCGAAGTGCGGAACAAAAACAGAATAAAAAACAAAACAAAAAATGTCAACACTGTACAACGCAGCAGCAGCAGCAGCAGCCTCAGCCTCCTGATTGTGTCGCAGCAACACAGTAACAGGCCTCGGTGTAAGTACGGCACCAACATCACTCACTGCACCTCAGTGTGTGCGTGTGTTTGATCAAATCCCAAACACTGCGTGTTCTCTGCGCATGTTTCTCTCTCTCTCTGTGTTACAGTCAGCTGTTCTGCAGTCCTGACTTTACACTCAACTCATATTTAACGCTGCGCCACCGTCCGTCCATTCGTCCACACACACACACACACACGCACCATAGCTAAGGCGAACACACGGCGGCGCTAACTTACCATTGTTGCGCAAATGCCATCGCAGTTCACTGCGCCACCATCTCCGTCCTGCTCCTGAGCGAATGTGTGAGCGTGTGAACGCGTCTCTGCTCCGGAGCTTCACTCACACAGACACACTCAGCTCCTCCCCCTCCTCCTCCCTCTCCCTCTCCTCTCTGAACGGCACACACGCACTTTTTCTCATGACTTCGGTTCAACCACAGGTTCCTCCAGCTGCGTGTGCACGCGCGCAGGCACTTACACACGCACACGTAGGGACAGAGCGCACGTACTTCTGACGTCACTGCATTCCATTTATTTCCACTCCGGAGGAAGCGGGAACATAAACAGAAGTTCAGGGGGATTATATAACGGAGTAACACTGGAAAATTAATCGAATTATTTAAGTTTTATTCTTTCTTTTTTTTTTTAAACAGTCTTTGCTCATTCTTGCTTGATAACAACTATGGCTTCAGCGTTAGCTAGCTTCTTCGTCATTTGGCTAATTTATTTATTCAGTTATTTATAGCTACTTTGGGACACAATATCCGGCATAAGTCTGTGATATGTTTTTGACAAATTGAAGCCACTAAGGACAATTTATCTTTTTTTTAAAAAAACCTAAATGTTAACAAATGTTCATGCTTAGCAAATTGTTAGCACTCCAGGCTAACTAAACATCTGTATATTCCCAATTTACTCATGCTCTATTTTTCTTTTTTTGCTAACAACTTCTTTGAAAGAAAAATGAAATTTAAAGTGAAATTTAAAGTATACATTTGCTTTAGCTTTAGCTTCTTTTGTTGGCTACATTTTCGTAGTTTTTTTTAATGTAACTTAACAAACTACATTGTCATAGTTGTTAGTTATTATTTACCAAATACATTTGAACTCTGCTACAGTTTAGCTAAGTTTGCGTTAGCTAAGTTTAACATGTGTTAAGGCTGCAGAAGCCTAGCTAACTCCACCGGTAGATGAGGAAAAGATCGACTTGTCAAAAATGTCTGTACAGGATGTGAATGAATGCAGCGTGAGGACACTGAAAGACAAAGACGTTGGTACTGATTCATTAAAGGCAGAGTTTCCATCAGGATAATTCGTGTTTACGTTCCCAGCATGCCTCTACTCTGTGATGTGGCAGCGAAAACCTGCGTCCATTTTTATCTAAAGCTGCTCTCAGAAGAATACCAGGAATGTCCTGAAAGGAATTCCCACAACATTCCAACACAATCCTCAGATCTTATCTTGGACATGAAGCGAGTTCCTCTGCGTCCGTGTCCCACATCACTCACGCATTCCTCTAGCCGAGTGTTTGTTCCTCTCCTCTGTTCCAGTGGACTATTAAAGGAATAATGTCACTACACCTAATCCATTCCCAACTTCCTCTCTTTGGTCCATGACAGCGGTTGAACAACCGCGCCATCTCGTGGCATATTTCTGTAATTTTAACAACACAAACCTGCCAGGGTGCGCCTGTAAAATTAGTCGTTATCTTTTTCTAAAATTTACTTGGATTTTTGTTTCAGTTGTATTCGCATCGAGCCTCACCTCAACCTGTCTCTTCTGCTACAGTGCAGCCACTTGGTGGCACTGCCGTTTCCCTGTGTTTTCTTTCTGCCTTTGATTCACAACCGGTGAGCAGATCAGTGAAAGGTAGCCAGATCAAAGGTCGGAGGGTTGACAGTACGTCTTTGCTCATTTTCACTGAGAAACATTTGCAACAGTAATAGTTGTAAAAATATATGAGACGTGTAATAATAATAATAATAATTATTATTATTATGTTTGATGGAATGCTATTCTAAACAACGAAATGTTTGATGGAATGCTATTCTAAATGACGAAACAGTTGTTTTTGTCCAAAAAAAAAGACATTTTCTGTAGTTTCACTGAGATTTATTACAGTTTAAAGCCACAATGTTGTTGTCTTCAAGTAATGTCTAAATGTCGCTAAAGGTTTTTAACTCCTTCTTCGGGTTTTGGGTTTCCTCGCCACCGTCATCATTATCATCATAGATAGTGATAGACAGACAGGACTTTATTAAACCCTCAGGAGTTCCATTCGGGAAATTAAAAACGCCGCCATCTTCATCGCGATCAGCCAAGTTTCTGTCCTGTTGACGAAATTAAAAACGCCGCCATCTTCATCGAGATCAGCCAAGTTCAGACAGTTTGTCTCAGACCACACACGACTTCATTCCACCGAGCAAAATACAATTGTCTCATTGGCTGAAATGTGTCATAAACCCTTCATATCTGGGCTCTGGGCATCGGACGACTCAATAGGATGGACGGGTCGGTATGTCCCGTGTGTGATTGTCCACCAAGTTGCCCCCACGGACGATGTCTTGTAAGCGTGTCTTAATGGCTTTGCCTGCATCGGAGAAGAACCTGGTGACAACGTTCCCCTTCTTATTGGCTGCCGTCAGGTGGCTCCTCAGTGCTGCGATGACCACATCGTCGGCCTGCTGCAGTCCCGTCAGCAGAACGTCATCAGAATCGAACCTCTCCGAGAGGTCGCTGAGCAGAGCCTCACAGGTCTTGTTGAAACTCTTGCCTTTGCTCACGGTGATGTCTCTGAGTTTGATGTGCTGCAGCGCCCTCTCTGACACGTTCTGGACTATCCGTTTGAAATCCGCCCGACACAACGACGCCTGCGCCTTCTTCATGGTGTTCATCAGAAGCTCTGTCACCACCAAGATGAGCAGTTTGTAGCTTTCAACATGTCCGTCAGACATTGCTGCTGACTCAGCTAGAGACGAGACAGCGTTATCCGCATCTTCTGGTTCGTCTTCGCAGTGAGAGTACGCAGAGTGGGCGATGTCGTCGCAGTATGGGACGCTGTCATCCGCCTGCTCGATGTCTGCATCGATCATGGCTTCATCGGCCTCAGTCAGGATTGTCAGCACGGCTCGGTCGGAGGTGGAGTAGGAGATGTCACATTGGTGCTTCCTTGCGATCACGGCGTGAGGTCGTAGGAAATGAGCGATACGTATGGAGGCAGTGCTGCTCTTCTCACATTTCTGCGGCGTGCATCTGCACTTATCAAGTTGCAAACAGTCAATTATTTCCACAGCCAGACCCACCAGCATATCCATGGTTTTGAAATCGATGCACTTGCACTTGGAAATCTTTTTGACGTGTATTTGCGTAGAACTCATCATCAAGGCAATGCGACCATTCACTTTTGCGGAGGCGTCTTTGGCGACCAACCGCGTGAATTGACGCAGACTCTTACAGTCCACCTGTGGGGTGTTTAAAGCTTGAGAGAAACACAACGGAAGGACGTCCTTCATGTTGGACCGGATCTGGCCTTCGTCGATGCCGAAGAAGCAGCTGGTACTTTGTACCGATGTCCAGCTGTAGAGGAGCTGTCTCTTCTTCTGCCACGCGGCCAGCACAGGCTTGATACAGTCCATGATGTGCAGTTCAACCGTGTGAATAAAGTGACGTGACAGTTCAACCAGCGGCCTTCGGAACTCACTGCTGCGAGACCCACCTTTGTCCAGGTAGCTGTGAATCAAGGAGGTCACATAAGTGTCCATCATGAGGTCGGAAACCATGATGGGAGGCGGGTAAACAAAGGCGCTCAGCTCCAAGTGTGACGGGATGAGGTTTTCTGGGTCGTCGCAGATCTTTAAGGCCTGCTTGTTGTTGGTTGGCTCTTGTTGCTTTACAGCGGTTGGCATCCATAGAGTTGCATTGGTGCCTACGTCGGTTGCCTTGGCCTCTTCTTCTCCTCCTTCCATTCTCGGTGAAATACTCTGCGCTTTAGAAGATGAAACACTTCTCCTCAGATGAACTAGTGGCTGTTGCTCTGCAGGTGTTAACGTCCATGATGTTGACTTACTGCTTATCTCACTTCATGAATTACATCACAGAACCAGACCTATGTGTAAAAATATGTCTGTGATAATAATCTTCAAAGGCCATCTCTGACGATGACTCTACATCACAGACACGTGTCTTTGAAGTTGCATGAAACTTCGCCAAATTCTGCTCATCTTTTTTTTTTCAACCCCCCCAAACTTTCAAACTATAAGTCGCACTTTTTTTCATCCTTTATCTGGGTTTGCGACTTATATTCAGGTGCGACTTATATATTAAAATATTTAATTTTACACGTTTGGTTTTATTTACACACTGACACCCTCTAGGGGGCACTCTAGGATTGTGTACCTGATCTGCTAATCCTGAACCACTGAAAATGTACATGTTAAATTAGGAAACTAATTTAACGTAAAGATAACAAGAAGCAACATTGGAGATGCTAACGCAACCACTAGCGCCTCAAACAACAACAATCAAAAGTGAAAACGGTAGATGAGCAACATTATGAGAAGTTTCTATGTTTTATTTCCACAATTTGATCTTTTCCTTGATTTGTTCCAACTTAATACGGTGTATAGAATAGAATAGAATAGAATTCAACTTTATTGCACATGTCACGAGTACAGAACATCAAAATGCAGTTTGCATCCACCCAGAAGTGCTTTAGAAAAATATATTACAAATGTACATTGTTTGAGGGAGATAAAAAGATGAATATTGTTATGAATATGCTTTAACTATAAATATATACAGACTTTAACAGGTTGTAACAGGCTGTATATGTGTGTGTGTGTATGGAGTAGCGTTACAGAACATCAAAATGCAGTTTGCATCCACCCAGAAGTGCTTTAGAAAAATATATTACAAATGTACATTGTTTGAGGGAGATAAAAAGATGAATATTGTTATGAATATGCTTTAACTATAAATATATACAGACTGTAACAGGTTGTAACAGGCTGAATATGTGTGTGTGTATGGTGTGTACCAGGTTTAAAGGTTTGTGTCAAACATCCCGAGAAGTAAAATAGGAGACCAATAGTGGTGAGTGGGAGAGTTTCTTAAAAAACATTCCACCTTAACAACGAGAAGCTCGACCGTGAGCGCTCACCATCATCACCTACGTGGAGAAACCCAGCTTCACTGGAAGACTCTAAGAGTTTTGTTCAAGGCTTCGATCAGTCTGTCTTGCATGATCTCCTTTGTTGAGTACAGGGGCAGTTCCAGAATGCTGAAACATGTGTGTGACCCGGGGTAGTACTGGTCCTGAGGGAAGACCCAGCTCTGGTTCAGTTGTATGGTCATGTGGATCTGCGTCCTAGTCATAGGCACCCTCTTAAAACCTGTCACAAACACTGGTTTGAGAAAAAAGAGAAAAGTAAAAAAAATCAGTATGAAACAAAGTGTTCATCTGGACACATCCACGTACATAAACGATCATAATTAGACCTAATAACCCCCCCCTACATAAACGATCATAATTAGACCTAATTAATCCTCCAAATGCCTAAAATAGATATGTTTTAAGTGTGTGTTAAGATACCGTATGGTACTCACACAAGAACGCCGTCTTCTGATCTTCAGTGAGCTCATCAAAAACCTCCCAGAACATTTGAATGTTTGGGTGTCCAGCGTGGTATCCATATGTATACGTTGTGCTCTAAATACGAAAATGTAAAGCTCCTATTATTGACCATCGTACAGGTTTGTGGATTTGAAGAAATCGCCGAAGAAGGAAGATTTGAACTTACCAATCTCAGCCTTTCCCAGGCGTGGAAGTCTTCGCCCACCAGGACACTCTGCAGTTCTTTTGGCTGAAACAGCTGGATCAGGTCCCGGTCGCACACATCGTAGAAACCTCGCTTGAACTCCACGAAAACACTTTCTACCGCTACGTCGAAGACGTGAGTCACATAGGCATCCACAAACTCCTTCCTGTTGAACAGAATTTGAGAAAAAAAAATTGAATCAGTAAATTTTTATCGTACGTCTTATTAGGTAGGTTGTACATTCGAGAAGCAGAACGAAAACGCAATGATTAGAGATTATAAATATCTGTATGTGGCTCCTACTTGTTTTGTCCTGTAACGGGTTTTTCAGGATTTCTGGGATCAAGGTCAACCTCTGATCCATCCCAGCTGATCTATGATGATCAAAGAGTGCAAAAAAAATATTAGTTGGTTGTTGAAATATTAAAGATATATCAATTTACTATATATTTAAAATCACCTACCACAAAATCCATCTCAAGGCTTTTGAAGACCTCGTCTGAGTACTCCTCCAGGATGGACTGCAGATTCCTTGAAAAACACAAGAACAAGGATATGATCCAAGCTCTTCCAAGGCCAAAAATGATGTGTTGCTCGAACTGTGTGGGATTTGAACCAACATCCACTCACCTGCCAAGACATGGGGAGAACTCCAGCATGTCGTCCAGCGAAGGCTTTACACCTAGCATCTTCTTGAACAAGGCCGTTGGGAATGGCAGATAAATGATGCACTTGTTGTACATGGCCAACCCACAAAGTACCCCAAATAGGTAGTATTCACGAAGCCCGTGTTCTGGCTGATGGTAATGGTGGAAGCAAATAAAGAGAAGTCGTTAGTAGTTAACTCTTTTACGTCAAGAATTTGTAGAAGTCTTTCCCTGTGATTTTTGCATATTGTCTTTTTTTGTTTTAGAATTTGCTTGTTTTACAATTGTTTTCAGGTCATTTGTTTCTACTATATACGTACATATAGGATATATTATCAATTAATCATGATTAATCCTTAGCTACCCTGTGATTAATCTGGTACAAATTTGTACTCATCAATTAATATCCATCTATAAAAGGACAGATACATAGATATAAATATGTATGTTTTAAAGTCTTACTTTGGAGGGGAACCACGCCAGAGTTTTGGAGTCATTGAAAATGAACATTCCAGAATGGACGGACATTATCTCGTGGAAGACATCATGAAAGAATTCTTTGACGAATAAGGGGAGATCGTTACGTGAGAAATCCCGATCTAAATAGACCTGGAAAACAAAGGAGCTACGTTTGTAACCAAGTGTGTTTAGGAAACAGACGAGAACCATCCAGGAGAACAGAACTCCTTTTAAGGTCCGTTCTCTGCTTGTCTGTTTACCACTAGTGGTCTTTTGTAGTAGCTGCAGGGAAAGCTGTCCAACTGTTTGAACGTCTCCTCTAAAATCGTCTGTCGTCCGAGTGTCAAAACCAGGTTTCCAGACAGGCTGGGAGAAAATCCGAACATGATACTACGCCAGACGTCTTCCATGACCTTTTGCTGTAAAGAAAGTGAGTTTCTAATCACATGGTATTTTTCATGTATTGTACATTTCTCACCAGTCAATGCTTTACTTACCCGGGTGTAGTCAGAGAAAAGGTCAAAAACGGTTTTCTTTGACTGAACATCCAACAGCATTGGGAAGTGATTGAGGACAAGTGGAGCAGGAGACGAAAGCTAAGAAAAAAAAAACAATGTCAACATTATTTTTGCTTAAAAAACCCATATATGTGTACATAGTATATGGAAGCTGTTCACACTGTTACACACGTTGACAGATTTTATTAAGTGACGAATGAGGTCCTTGTACCACTGGTGGTACTCGGTCTCCCTCTAGTGGTGCGCTTGTATCACTGACGACAAATACTGTCCCTAGTGTTTAGTAAACACTAACGACAAATACTGTCCCTAGTGTTTAGTGCTCACATTGAACACGTTCGCCTCATTCATTAATTTGTGAAGAAATCCCACCATTCATCCAGTTATTGTTGGTCTAATACACAGTCCATACACGTGCTCCCATTTGGGGGGTGGGGGGGTGGGGGCGTGACAGAAAATAATTAAGAACCGCTGCTTTAACCCAAACGGCTGCATATATCGGTATCAGTTGTTATTGGAAATTAAGTGTTTGGACAGTATCCGCATATCGGATATTGGAAACAAGTTAACATCGGACATCCCTAATTATTTGGTTTAGTCGTTTGAAAACCATAGAAAACAAAAATGAATTCTTCTTATTATTGTTCCTAGATTTCAGTAGTGAATAGTTCCAGGTACTTTTCCAAGTTCCTGTTAGTACTGTAATAATTTCCTCCAGAACAGAGTTTCTACCTTATGTATTCTCTGTGAAATCCAGAAAATCAGATCTTGTTTGAGAAAATCCACATCCAACGAAAGACAGAAGTCGCTCGGTGGTATCCGTCTGGACGCTGCAGTCCTGCTGTTGACCTTTCCAACACAGAGTGAGCAGGAACGCAGTTCAGGACACGACTGAGACAGTGTGACATTTGTCAGAGATTACGCTGACAGTTGCTACTCACGTCGTACATGCGCTGAAGGACGCGCAGCAGATTCGTAACAGCAGAGCTGTGACAGACAGGCTTAGAAGAAAAGATGTCTGACAGAGCTTTCCTCCAAACCGTCACATATTTATACATGGTGGAGGTCGGCAACGAGGTCCACCAGCTCCCTGAGGAAGACACGTCAGAGAATTCCAACAGTTTTAGTAGAGGTTTTGCAAATCAATGGATGTCGAGAAGAAACCGTTCCTTAAGGTTTCAGTTTGTCCGACCACGGCTAGGTACCAGTTTCTGTGTACCTGAAACTAGGGATGTTCGATAATATCGGCCGGACGATGATGTCAGCCCGATATTAGCCTATTAGGTAACAGCTGTAAGAATTGGTATCGGTTTTTCCTCCGATAATGAAAACCTAATAACGCAATGCCTAGGTTTCGTCAAATGCTGTGTGACCTACAAATAGTTTTGGGGAAGTGAAAGTCACTAGATGGCAGCATTGCAGCTTATTTTTATTAATCTCATACTCACACAGCAGTTTGAACAGATAAATAAATAAATATTACCAGACCTATATCGCTATTGGTTGATATCAGAATTGGAAATTAAGTCTTTGGACAATATCGGCATATAGGATATCGGCAAAAAGTTAATATCGGAAATCCCTAACTAAAACGTTTTAAGGGAACAAACTGCACCGTACCGTACCG